GCTGCTGCTGCTGGCGCTGCCTCTGCTTTATTATTACAACGCGATTCAGAAGAAGTTCAGGCTCACTGCGCGAGAGCTGCAGCGCCTGGCAAGCGTCAACAAGAGTCCTATATTTCAGGGGCTCGACCAGGCAATTGCAGGTATCAGCTCCCTGCGGGCGTATGAGATACAGGAGCCTCTGGCCCAGGAGAACGCACACAAAGTGGAGACGGCCGTCAGGATGATATTCAACATCATGTGCTGCAACAGGTGGCTCTCCATCCGTCTGCGCACCCTCGGCACTGCCCCAGTGGCACTGGTGACCCTGCTCCTGCTGCTGCACAACAACGTCCCCTTGCTCGCGAGGCTGTCCCTGGGCATGGCCGTGCAGGGCGGCGCCGTGGGCCTCGTCTTGAGGTACTCGCTGCAGCTGACCACCAACATGGAGGGGCTGCTCCAGTCGCTGACGAACACGGAGCTGTGCCTGGTCGCCCTGGAGCGCCTGAGCACCCTCTCCGAGGTGAGCCCGGAGCCCGTGCTGCTGCAGGACGGCGACGAGGCGAGGCACGAGAGCTGGCCCGGGAGCGGGCAGGTGCGGTTCGAGAGCGTGACCATGCGCTACCGGGAGGACCTGCCGACGGTGCCAAGAGGAGGGCCAGTCGAGACGGCGGCGGCCCTCCCCGGCGTGTGGTTTTCGCTTTTTTTGGGGGGCCTCCTGGAGGCTTTTCGCCGCCACGGCCGGATCCGCTTCGAAGCACGGGCCGGGATGGGCCTTGGGAGGTGCTCGGGACCGATTCTGAGCGGGCTTGGGCCCGGCGGAGAGCCGGCGCTGTCTCAGTTGGCCTTCCGAGGTGCTGAACAGCATATCCTTCACCGTGCCGGGGGGCACCAGCGTGGGCGTCGTCGGCCGCACGGGCGCAGGGAAGAGCTCGCTGCTGCAGGCCCTGTTCCGCATGTGCCCCCTCGACGCGGGGAGGATCACGATCGACGGCGCCGACATCTCGGACATGGGGCTGCACACCCTCCGGCGGCGGCTGGCGATCATCCCGCAGGACCCGGTGGGCTTCACGGGCACGCTCCGCTTCAACATGGACCCCTTCGGGGAACGAAGCGACGACGAGATCATGGAGCAGCTGAGGAACGTGCAGCTGACCGACTTCGCCTCCGAGGACGGGATGAAATTATCCCGGCAAAGCAACCTAACAGCGATGTGTAGGAGCATATCTGGAAGCATTCCCCTTAAGATTCAGATGAGAAGACAGTTGTAGAATTCTGCTGTTCTCACAGTCGTAGTCGCATTCGCGATGACAGTCGCAGTGGCAACGGCAGTCGCAGTCACAGCCTCAGCCTCAGCCTCAGCCTGCCTCAGCCTCAGCCTCAGCCAGCCTCAGCCTCAGCCTCAGCCTGCCTCAGCCTCAGCCTGCATCAGCCTCAGCATCAGTCTGCCTTCAGCCTCGGCCTCAGCCTCAGCCCTCAGCCTCAGCCTGCCAGCCTCAGCCTCAGCCTCAGCCTCAGCCTGCCTCAGCATCAGCCTCAGCCTCAGCCTCAGCCTCAGCCTCAGCCTCAGCCTGCCTCTGCCTCAGCCTCAGCCTGCTTCAGCCTCAGCCTCAGTCTGCCGTCGGCCTCGGCCTCAGCCTCAGCCTGCCTCAGCCTCAGCCTGCATCAGCCTCAGCCTCAGCCTCAGCCTGCCTCAGCATCAGCCTGCCTCAGCCTCAGCCTCAGCCTGCCTCAGCCTCAGCCTCAGCCTGCTTCAGCCTCAGCCTCAGTCTGCCTTCAGCCTCGGCCTCAGCCTCAGCCTGCCTCAGCCTCAGCCTGCATCAGCCTCAGCCTCAGCCTCAGCCTGCCTCAGCATCAGCCTGCCTCAGCCTCAGCCTCAGCCTGCCTCTGCCTCAGCCTCAGCCTGCTTCAGCCTCAGCCTCAGTCTGCCTTCAGCCTCGGGCCTCAGCCTGCCTCAGCCTCAGCCTGCAGCCTCAGCCTCAGCCTCAGCCTCAGCCTGCCTCAGCATCAGCCTGCCTCAGCCTCAGCCTCAGCCTCAGCCCTTCAGCCTCAGCCTCAGTCTGCATCAGCCTCAGCCTGCCTCGCCTCAGCCTCAGCCTCAGCCTGCCTCAGCCTCAGCCTGCCTCAGCCTCAGCCTCAGCCTGCCTCAGCCTCAGCCTCAGTCTGCCTTCAGCCTCAGCCTCAGCCTCAGCCTGCCTCAGCCTGCATCAGCCTCAGCCTCAGCCTCAGCCTGCCTCAGCATCAGCCTGCCTCAGCCTCAGCCTCAGCCTGCCTCAGCCTCAGCCTCAGCCTGCTTCAGCCTCAGCCTCAGTCTGCCGTCGCCTCGGCCTCAGCCTCAGCCTGCCTCAGCCTCAGCCTGCATCAGCCTCAGCCTCAGCCTCAGCCTGCCTCAGCATCAGCCTGCCTCAGCCTCAGCCTCAGCCTGCCTCAGCCTCAGCCTCAGCCTGCTTCAGCCTCAGCCTCAGTCTGCCTTCAGCCTCGGCCTCAGCCTCAGGCTGCCTCAGCCTCAGCCTGCATCAGCCTCAGCCTCAGCCTCAGCCTGCCTCAGCCTCAGCCTCAGCCTCAGCCTCAGCCTGCCTCAGCCTCAGCCTGCCTCAGCCTCAGCCTCAGCCTGCTTCAGCCTCAGCCTCAGTCTGCCTTCAGCCTCGGCCTCAGCCTCAGCCTGCCTCAGCCTCAGCCTGCATCAGCCTCAGCCTCAGCCTCAGCCTGCCTCAGCATCAGCCTGCCTCAGCCTCAGCCTGCCTCTGCCTCAGCCTCAGCCTGCTTCAGCCTCAGCCTCAGTCTGCCTTCAGCCTCGGCCTCAGCCTCAGCCTGCCTCAGCCTCAGCCTGCTCAGCCTCAGCCTCAGCCTCAGCCTGCCTCAGCATCAGCCTGCCTCAGCCTCAGCCTCAGCCTGCCTCAGCCTCAGCCTCAGCCTGCTTCAGCCTCAGCCTCAGTCTGCCTTCAGCCTCGGCCTCAGCCTCAGCCTGCTCAGCCTCAGCCTGCTCAGCCTCAGCCTCAGCCTCAGCCTGCCTCAGCCTCAGCCTGCCTCAGCCTCAGCCTCAGCCTGCCTCAGCCTCAGCCTCAGCCTGCTTCAGCCTCAGCCTCAGTCTGCCTTCAGCCTCGGCCTCAGCCTCAGCCGGCCTCAGCCTCAGCCTGCCTCAGCCTCAGCATCAGCCTGCCTTAGCAATAAAAATGTGGCCCGGGAATGAAGTTCTGGGAACTCGAAGAGCACGAAGTGGCCTACAGTTGGCTCTTGGCATTCAAAATCATACCCAGGAATGGAGTTCTGGGAACTCGAAGACCACGAAGTGGCTTACAGTTGGCCCCGGGCATTCAAAATCATGCCCAGGAATGGAGTTCTGGGAACTCGAAGACCACGAAGTGGCCTACAGTTGGCTCTGGGCATTCAAAATCATGCTCAGGAATGGAGTTCTGGGAACTCGAAGAACACGAATTGCGCTACTGTTGGCTAAAAAAAGAATCCCCGGCATCCTCCCCCGGATCGCGCCCAGACCCCCCTGGGGCGTCAAGATGCTCTCTTTTGACCCTACTAGAAACCTATCAGTCTTCGCTGTTAGGTAAAATTCAAGCGCCGCACCCAAACTTTCAGAGGTCCGCGTGGGATGTTTTCGGCCGGCGGCGCTGAACCCCTCCCTGCACACCCTTCCACCCCGCGCGCGGAGCGCGTTGGGGGCGGTGCCAGAAGCGCCGCCAGGGGCGGCGGGGAGGAAGAGGTCTAGCGCTGACCCGAGAAGTCCGCGCGGACCTCCGAGAAGTGTGAACTTTACGGTGGGGGCGTTGGTTCCGGAATGTGCCCAGGAGGCTCCAGACCCTGGAGCATTCCTTATCTGAGGAGGGATGCGGTGAATTCCATGGCAGATCCACGATCGGAGTTCCACTGGCTTTCGGACCCCGGATTCCTTGTCAAATGGTTCCTTATCCAAGCCCTCACCATAATTTCTTTCCATGTTCCTGCTGGTGCCTAGAGAATGGGAACCGGCATCACTGCGCTGGCGTCCGACCACACACCAGCCAGAACGCCTCCGTGGACTCTCCCGCCCAACCGTCGTCATGAAGGAAACGGGGCCTGACGGGAGCGGGTCCTAGACTCGAGTCGGTCTGGGGACGACTCTTGGACTCTTCGTGCACGTAACTAATTGGAGCATGTTTGGGGTAGTTGCTTACTTTTCGTTCAACATCCCCCCCGTGTGAGGATGTGCCCGACTGAATCCTACAACCCTCGTCGAAATTGAACGCAAGTTTGTCCCACCCCCGTCGCCCCCAAATTTTAATGTTCATCGACAGGCGCATCGCGGCCGGCGGGGTCCGAAGAAAATCTCGAAGTCGCCGGCATCGGCGTGAACATTGAAATTGGGGGTCGGGGGGCGCCGCCAGGTCGCGGCTAAAACCTGCGTTCAATTTCGACGAGGGATGAGGGATGTTCACATTTTTTGCGACGTACGTGTGCGCGTGTGTGTGTGTGTGTGTGTGTGTGTGTGTGTGTGTCTGTGTGTCTGTGTGTGTCTGTGTGTGTGTCTGTGTGTGTCTGTGTGTGTGTCTGTGTGTGTGTGTGTCTGTGTGTGTGTGTGTCTGTGTGTGGTGGGTGGGTGGGGTGGGTGAGGTGGGGTGTGGGGTTGGGGTGGTGGTGGTGGTCGGGGGGTTCGCTTGGTGGCGCGACCCGCCTTGCCGATCCGCCCGGAGATTTTCTGCCCTGATGTAGACCCGCAGGGGCTTCCAAGGATCAGCTCTCCGCGCCGAGTCGCCTTCCTGACGGCCTGGGGGCCCGCGCAGGGGCCTCGGGAGCCCGGCGGCGGCGAGCACGGTCCCGCGCCGGTCTTTGCCCCCCAGCACCCGCTGTGCCACTCGGAAGCTGGGCGAGGGCTGCTAAAACTGTGGCTGCTAAAACGGCCGGCCCTCCCGGAAGGAAAAAACAACTTCCCGGAATTAGGCGCGGCACGGGAAACTGTCAACGGGCTTCTTCCCGGAAGGACGAAGACAACTTCCCGGAGGTCGTTTTTAGCAGCCACGGATTTAGCAGCCCTTGCCCGGCTCCCGAGCCACGTCGGGCGTGCCGCTCTACAGGAGGAAGATCAAACGACGCGAAGATCGGGACAAAATCGGATCGGGATGACTCGAAATCTCTGAGGATCGGCGGGTTTGGAGGATGTGTTGGGCGCCGCGGCCGCTCCAGAGCGTTCCGGAACACTCTGAGAGCGCTCCGGAACGCGCTGGAGCGATTTATCCCGATCCTAGCCCTGTTTTATACGTCGGGCGCGTCGCTCTACAGGAGGAAGATACAGAGGTAGTCAAAACATCGTCGGGGGACGATTTGTTGATTGTGTGTTCGTGCACTTTTGGAGCATCGCTCGACTCTTGTTTCATTCTTCGTACCAGGTCCGCCCGTCGGGGGACATGCCCGACCTATCGCTACGCGTTCATGCTCAAGCTTGGCCGGCTTCTCGAGCTGCGTCCAGCCGTGGCGACGAGGACCGCCACAAACGCCCCGCAACAAAATTCGGAACCCAGGCGCCGACCTCGTCGGTCGCAACCGACGAGATCGGCCGCTGCCGATGTTACTTCAAGTTCCTGCGTCGGCCGAGACCGGCTCACTTCAAAATCTGCTGCGACCGATCTGGAGTGCCGACCAGCCGCTACCGATCGCGACCGAAAAAGTCAAATGATCTTGTCGAGGCCCCCCAGATGGGGTCGGAGTAGATGGGGTCGGAGGATCGCGCCGCATCGCCGATGCATCGGCGATGCGGCTCGATGAGGAGCCTGATGTGCTTCACTTCGACGTTGTCGATGCATCGCCGACGTCGACGATGCATCGCCGACGCATCGCCAGTGCATCCCCGATATTTCCCCGATGTGTCGGCGATGCGGCGCGATCCTCCGACTCCACCTACTCCGACCCCATCTAGGAGGCCTCTATCTTGGCACGTCGGCGTCGTCCAGAGGAGGGCCTCCGGCACCACCTCACATCTGGCGGCGACAACCTCTCCGTGGGCCAGCGGCAGCTTGTCTGCGCCGCGCGCGCATTCCTGCGGGGCTGCCGCATCCTGGTGCTGGACGAGGCGACGGCGAGCGTGGACTTCCGGACGGACGCCCTGATCCAGGACGTGCTGCGGAACGAGGCGAGCGGCGCAGGAGAGGCGTGGGAGAAGGAGGAGGCAGGAGGCAGGAGCATGCTGCAGGATGTTGCAGGCCTGATCTCCGCAGTTTCAAAACACGCGCCGCGGCGACGATCGAAGCCTCACTCACCCCAGGCCGTCCATGGGCGATGGAGGTCGGGTCTGGTCAAAAATCTAGGCTCCAGCTTCGCCCCCCGCTTGTGGCAGGAGGCTGGCTTTGGTGCTCTCGACGATATTGGGCTCCAGCTTCGCCCCCCGCTTTTGGCAAGAGGCTTTCGACTGGCTCCCGATGAACTGCAACCCTGCCTCGCACGATTGCTCCCCAGCCTTCCGCACACGAGCTGATCCCAGCACTGTAGTTGGTGATGTACGCCCTTGCACTTTCGTGCGCGACTATTCCTAGCGGAGTTGTTTAGATGCCGTCGGGCTCTATCATCGCCTCCCACTTCTCGCAGCCGTTTTCTCGCAGCGCCAGGGTCTGCGGGGTGCATTCCCTTCATCCACGGCCACTGCGCGCCCCCCTTCTTGCACGGACTTCTCCCAGCGTTGTAGCTGATCGTGGCCCACCCGCGCGTTTCGCTCAGCACTAGCGTCCGCTGCCACTGCGCTCGCCCTTTCTTGCACGGACTGATCCCAGCGTTGTAGCTGGTCGTGGCCCACCCGCGCGTTTTGCTCAGCACCAGCGTCCGCTGCAACTGCGCTCGCCTCTTCTCGCACGGACTGTTCCCGGCGTTGTAGCTGATCGCCCACCCTCACGTTTTGTTCAGTGCCAGCGTCCGTTGCCACTGCGCTCGCCCTTGTTCGCACGGACTGCTCCCAGCGTTGTAGCTGATCGTGGCCCCCCCGCACGTTTCTCTCAGCCTGCCTCCAGCATCTCGCGTTCCAGCCAGAGCCTGCTGCCACTGCTCGCCCTTCTCGCACGCGCTGGCTTCAACGCTGTAGCTAAGGACGTCAGGCTCTAGCTTCGTCTCCGTGTCTCGGAGTCTAGTCAGCGCCTGCTGCAACTGCTCGTTGTTCTCGCACGCTCCTTCGGCTTTGTAGCTGAGCACGTCGGGTTGTTTCTCTACTCTCGCCCGCTCTCGGAGCCAGGCCCGGGTCTGCTGCCACTGTTCGCTCTTCTCGCACACGCTGATTTCAGCAACGTACCTGATGAGGGCGTCGGGCCACTGCGCTTTGTTGCTGGTGTGCTGTGCAGCGACACCTGTGTTTGCGAGGAGGAGGAGGAGGAGGAGGAGGAGGAGGACGAGGAGGAGGAGGAGGAGGAGGAGGAGGAGGAGGAGGGAGGGGGCGTGGGAAAGGAGAGGACGAGAGGAGAGCAGGACATCCTGGCCTTTCTGCATGAGCCTATTCACCGCCAGCTGCCGCTTCGTGATGGCCCATGGTTCTTGATGGCTCCCCGATGCAACGCCGCTCCGAAGTTCGCATCGGGAACGCCGGGGCCGGCCCACGCAGGGATGGGCCGCTCGGGCGAGGGAGGAGGGCAGGAGGAGGAGGAGGATGGGGGGGGGAAGGAGGAAGAGCCAGGCCGACCCGAGCGGTCCTGCGCGGATGCTCAACGCTGGAGACTTACAGAACCCCCACCCTACCAAGTCGGCCAGCGAAACGCCCTGCTTCGGTTCTCGAGAGAGGGCGGTGCACCCGTGGGTTTTGCATGCGCGCGCCTGGGTCCCGACGCTTTTCCCGGTGTTCCCTCCAGGTCCGCTGCTCTTGCATGCCGAGAGAGAGCGGGGGGCCTCAGGGGAGGAAAAAGCGGGCGCGACCTGAGCGGCCTGGCGCGTTTCATGGAGGGCCTCGAAGACCAAACGCGTTGGCAACTCTTATATTCGGCTGAAGGCGGCGGAAGCAAAACGGGGACGGCCCCGCGGGCGGAAGTCAAGGATGCGCCCCCAAGATGTGGCAATTTGGCGGGATTCAGGTTTTCCAGAACCGGCCATACAGCCGCGCCCCGCTCGAGTCCCTCTTCGAGCGCGTTTGCTGACAGGTCCCGTCTGCATTTGGTGGTCATGTGCGCGGGCGTTTCAGAGCCCAGGCCGCTCAAGTGGGGTCCGAGCAGATGGAGTCCGAGGATCGCGGCTCGATGTGAAGCCCGATTTCTCAATGCCAACGTCGCCGACGCAGCCGATGCATCGCCGACGTCGCCGACGCATCGGCGATGCATCGGCGGTGCGGCGCGATCTTTCGACCCCATCTACTTGGACCCTGTTTTGGGAGGTCTTTAACACATCAGAAAGGAGCAGGGCCGACGGTGTGGACGTTATTGCGTAATTCGGCAGCCCGCGCAGGGTCTCGCGCTGGCGGCCCGCGCACGCAATCGCGTCATTGGGTCGCCGCGTCCTCGTGCGTTCGACCCCCACAGAGGTCCCTGCAGGTCCCCGCGGGCCCCTGGAGGCCCAAAAGTGCAGCAACCGTGCTGCCATGGGGAGTGCAGCGTAAGGAACCCTGGCCACGAATAGGTTCCCCGCCAAAAAAGTAAGGACCGGCCCGAAACCAAAGGCCCTCTCGAGCCCGAAGTGGCCTTCTTTCCAGCGCCTTCGCTGGACGGAGAACTTCCCAAAGTTGGAGAACCAAAATCGAACTGACCAAAAATAGGTCAGCATAAAATGACCGACTGGGCGGACATTCGCACGCAAGCTCCCCGCACAAGGTTGCGCATAAGCGCCCTCTCGTCCAGGCGACGTGCCGCGCAGGCGGTCCGCGTAAGCCATTACACAAGTTCGCGATGTCCTCTGGTGTGTAAGATCCCTTCCTCCTTCGTTCGGATAAGAACATTACATGCGCGCACACCTCCGGAGGTGCGCGCTGGACCTGCCTCCCTGGCGCGCGAAGCGGCTCTGGAGGCGCCGCCAAGGGGGTCCAGCGCCGATCCATGAAATCCGCCCAGACATTCGCTAATTATGCTTATGCCGTCGTGATGTCCTTCTGTCCGTCGCACAGGTGACCACGAACCAGTTGACCACGATCACGATCGCCCATCCCGGGTCGGACGAACAGGGGCGATGGGGAAGGGAATGTGTGACATCTTTTGCGCGCAGCTGGTTTGCCTGCCGCTGGGCGTTTTCCTCGATGCAGTGGCGCTGATGGTGCTGGGAGACATCGAGATGCAAGCCAGCTGCGTAAGCCGATTCGCTCACCCCCCTTTGGCCCCGCCCCCTCGATTCGCCGCGTTAGGGTCGCCGCGTCCTCGTGCGTGTGACCCCCACGGAGGTCCTTCTCTTCAGATCTCCACAGGGCCTTGGAGGCCCCAAACAGTGTAGTCGTCGTGCCCAGGAGGACCGCGACACAGGGAACGAAGGGGTTTTACTGGCCACGGCGAGCCTCGGCCACGAAGAGGTTCCCGGCGTAGATCCGAGGAACGGCTTAGCAAAAAAGCCAAGAGCCCCCCTTTGCAGCGACGCAGAAGAACGGGGTCGTCTTCATGGACATTGGCGCATAAGCTGCCCGCGTAAGGTCGCGCGTGAGCGCCCTCGTTTCCAATGTGGCGTGCAGCGCTGGCGGCCCGCGTAAGCCACCGCGTAAGGTCGCTATGCCATCTCGCGGAGGATTCGTTTTCTTTTCTGGGGAAACCGAAAGGTACCGTTGCCGCTACTCTCCAGAACTCCTCCTGGGGTACGTTCTGACCAGAATGTCGAGGCGAATCCATCGGTGGCGACGAGGGCCTCCCAGGGGGCCCCAACAGGCGAGAACGAGGCAAGGGTAGCGGAATGGGTAATTCACTTTTCCTCCTCCGATCTTCGTCGCGCAGTTGCGTTGCTACCCCCCCGTCTCGCCCGACCCGACCATCGCATAAAAACCATCATGGGCTCGGACAACGTCCTGGTCATGGACCGGGGCGCCGCCGCCGAGTTCGGCCCCCCAGCGGCCTTGGCGGCCGATCCCTCGACCAGGTTCCACGACCTGGCCTGCGGCCACTGAGCGGCGGCTCTCGCGCTTCCGCTCTTCTCCACACGCTCTGTGTGTATTGCCTCTCTTTCCTGCGGATCCCCGTCGGACGGACGGTGAGGCCCTTCGGTTCCTTCCATCCGCCTACAGGTCAGCAGCATTTCTTATTTTTCTCTTCCGCAGGAGAACCGATGCTTCGCTGCTGATGCTGATGCTTCGATGGCCGCCCCTTCGGGGGCGGGCGACGAAGTTCACACCTTCACAGGAGGAATAAGCATCCTTGACGCTACCATTCCCTCGTTTTCGTTGTTTTGGGCCTCGTGGGAGGCCCTCGTCGCCACCGCTGGATCCGCTTCGAAATTCTGGGTAGAAAGCACTGCGGGAGAGGACCGGGGAGTAGCGGTTTGCGGCACCTTTTGGTCTCCCCAGAACCGACGCCCTCTCTGCTTGGATGTCCGCGGCGGGCGCTAAGGGCATCGGGAGGGGAGGGGGGGTAAATTGGGTTATGGCCCAACCTGGTTATATTTATACACATATCTAGATATCTGTATGTCACAAGTGCCTTCAGCAGTGTAGGGCGATTAGATAACTCCGGGATGTTGGCCCTGGCCACCGAATGCATATCTGCACCCCCCCCTGAGCCGCGTAGGGCGTGTACAACCCACTTCAAGCTAGGTTCGGCCAGATACAATCCACCTTAGGGGCCACTTCTCACCCCCTAACCGAGCAACATTTTTAATGATGGGGGCCCCCCTCCCCCAAAAAAAAGCTTTCGTTGGGCAGTAAAGCTCTGCCTCCCCCTCCTCGTCCCTATTTCTCGCCCAGCACCCCCACTTCCACCCCCAAAGGGAACCCCAAGAGTCCTTAGGGGTCCGCATCTGGGGTTTAGTACAGTGGAGGCCCATGCCAAGAAACACCGCGCTTGCCTCCAGGTGGCCTTGGGTTTCTTGGGTTCCGATGGTTTTGCGATGGGAAGCGTGGCGCTCCCACACTACAAATCAATCAACGTCCTGGGGTCTCAGGATTGGGTTTCTTGTGGAAGGGTTCTTGTGGTGGGGCCCCTACCGTAAAGACCCATCTTGATCGTCCCATTTCGCAACCATCGCGGTCATCCAAGTAGGCCTGCCTCCCCCCCTCGACGCGGGATGAACGGCAAGGCGACAGAAGCCTGGACCTAGATTTGGGACGCGCTCTGCTTTTCTTGGGCATCCCGGGACTTCTACCCAGATCACCCGTCACCGAAAATGTTCGGTAACGTTTTGGACGAATTGGTCGCGACCGAAATTCGGCTTCCGGTCGCGAGTTACGGGGACGAGCGAGCCGGCAACATCTTCGAAACTTTCGCTTGGATCCCGGCGTGTCCTTTCTTCGTTACCGAAAGCCGACCCCCTCCCGTCGCATGCGAAGTCTGGCGCGCCCAAAATCCGTTGCCGAAAGTTTCTGGTCGCGGACGATCTGGGCGGACACCTCCTGAGATAAGGCAGACCCAGGATGAGGATAAACCGCTCCAGAGCGTTACAGAGCGCGCTCAGAGCGATCCTGAGCGTTCTGAAACGGCCGCAGCGCCCGACACATCCTCTAGACCCACCGGCCCCTTGAGAGATCCCCGATTTATATCCATCGGGATTCATCTTCATCCTGGTTTCGTCTGGGGGGGTTGCGGAGGTCGACAACTGGAGACATCCAGAGACCTCTGCAATGGAGACCCCCTTGGAGCAGGGGCGCCCTTTGCGGGGAGGTCAACGGTGCCCCACCGAGCTGGAGATTGAAGTGGCATCGAGCAAAGCGGTGCAGAAAGCAGCGACACCGCACCACTACGAGGACCGTTGCCTATCATTTGACTATGATGATGTTGGTGTCGTTTCAATCCGTCCTATCTTCGCCTCGTCCTCCCCCTTCGCATCTCCCTCCTCCTCCTCCTCCTCTTCCTGCTCCGTTCCCCCCCAGAGGGGGATCATTAGCTTCACGGCTGCAAGTATTTACTATTCTCGTCTGCCCCGCCCTTGCCCCCGTCTGCCAGGCTGGGCATGAACGGAGGTGGCCAAAGCGATGCACTATGCACCGTGTATGGAGTTCTGCTCAGCGAGGTACGAGCACGACCAGCCATGAGTTCCACCTCCGTTCCTCTTTCCCTATACCTGCTCCTCCTGGCGCGCGACGCGCGCTTGCCACACATTGGCGCTTCTGGCGCACCCTGGGGCTTCTGGGGCACGCGCCTGCACACTGGCGCCTCTGGAGCACGCGCCTGTGCACGAAGCGCGCGCCACCCGGCGGCATCTGCTCTGCACTTCCAGTCGTCGCGCCGGCGTCGCGTACGACTCCACGCGGCGCCCACGCAGCACCCCCCCTCGGCGACATCTGCTCTGCACACGTCGCCGTCGTCGTCGTTGTCGTCGTCGTCATCGTCGTCGTCGTCGCGCCTGCATCGCGCACGACTCTAGGAGGCGCCCGCGCGCAGCACCCCGACCCCGCCCCTGGGCGACAGTTGCTCTGCACTCGTCGTCGTCGTCGTCGTCGGTCGTCGCGCCAGCGCCGCACACGACTCTACGCGGCGCCCGTGCGGCAACCCCCCCTCGGCGGCATTGACTCCGACCTCGTCGTCGTCGCGCTGGCGCCGCGAGCGGCTCTGCACGGTGCCTGCGCACAACCCCCTTGGCGGCATTTGTTCTGCACTCCTCTTTGTTGTCATGTCTGCGTCCTGCGCGCGGCGTTAACACAGCGTCCTCCATGGACTCTTCGCCATTCCTGTGCGCCTGCTCATTGAAGTTTTTTCTTTTCCTGCGCCTGCCCCAATGGACAGTCCGCTTTCCCTTTTGCGACGACCAACCCCCGAGCACAATTGTGTTCACTGGTCTTCCCCCTCCAGGGAATCACTATTCTTCCCTTAACATCACATTGTGTTACCCCTCGTCCTCCGCCCAAGCAGTCCCCCTTCCTCCTCCACCACCCATCTTCCTTAGAAATGACTTGTCGGTAGTTCCGGCCGAGCATTTGGCTTGAGGGCTCCGCATCACTTACGCTCCTGAAGCTTGAATTTCGCACCAGCTTCCATAACCGAGGTAAGTTTTTAGTTTTGGTCCCCCCCGATGTCACTCGGCGTTGAATAAGACGGGTCCTAAAATCTCTTCATCCTCCTCCTCCTCCTCTTGCTCCTCCTCCTCCTTAGGAATGGCACCAGGAGGCATACGTACTGCTGCTACTTTTGTTAGGCCTACTTGCACGACTACTATGACGATTGCATGTACGATTGCGATTGCTGCTGCATGTATCCTTACTCCTGGGGAGGAGGCGGAGGAAGAGGAGGAGGAGGAGGAGGGAAGGAGGAGGAGTAGGGTAGAGACGACGACTCCCACGACGATGACGACGACGACTACTACTATTACTAGTACGACGACGACTATTATTATTACTACTACTACTACTGTGTACTTGTACTACTACCACTACTACGACTACTACTACGACTACTGATACTACTACTACTACTACTACGACGACGACGACTAGTTATTCTAATTTTTATAATTATTATTACTACTACCACCACTGCGACAATTATGACTATCACTAGTAATACTACTACGACTACCACCACCACTACTACTACTACTACTACTACTACCACTACTACTACTACTACTGCTACTACTACTAATACGTCTACGACTACGACTACGACTACTACTACTACGACTACTACTACTGCGATTACCACTACGCCTACTACTACTACTACTACTACTACTACTACTGCTACTACTACTACTACTACTACTACCAACTCTTCTTCCACGGCTACTACCACTACTACTACTACTACTACTACTACTACTGCTACTACTACTACTACTACTACTACTACTACTACTGCTACTACTACTACTACTACTACTACTACTACTGATACTACTCCTACTACGACGACGACTACTACTACGTCTACTGTTACTACTACTATTACTGCTACGACTATTTGTACTAGCACTACTACTGCTACAACTACTAACTCTACGACGACGGCTACTACTACTACTTCTATTACAACTACGACTTCTATTACCACTATTCCTATTACTACTTCCGCGATTTCTTGTACTACTACGACGGCTAGTCTACGACTAATGTAACGGCCAGTACCACTACTACGACTACTACTACTACTACTACTACTACTACGACTACTACGACTACTACGACTACTACTACTACTACTACTACTACTACTATTGCTACTACTACTACTAATACTGTTAACATTACTACTACTGTTACTACGACTATTTACAGGTCTACCACTACTATAGTTATAGTTCGTTACGTCCTTTACTGCCCATACTACTGCTACTACTTCTTCTACTTGTGCGCCTAGTAAAACCACGACTACGATTGCGACGGCGACTATTATTACTACTACGACTACTACGACTACTGCTACGGTTTCTACTACTACTACTGCTGCTACTACTACTACTGTGCCCACCACTGCTACTACTACGACGACGACTACTACTCTTATTATTACTACTAGTACTACGGCTACGTTTACTACTACTTCTACTACTACTACCACTACTACTACTACTACTACTACTATTGTTGCTACTACTCTTACTACTACTACTTCTACTATTACTACTACTATTGCTTCTACTACTTCCTCTACCTCTACTACTACTTCGACTACTATAATGGAATGGCTACACGCGCGCTTACTAGTACGCCTATTATTTCTACTGCGACGTCGACTACGGCCGCGACTGCGACTGCGATTGCGTTTGCGACTACGCTTGCGACTACGACTACGATTGCTACTACTACTACTACTGCTACTACTACTACTACTATTACTACTACTACTACTACTACTACTACTACCACTGCTGCTACTACTACCATGCTATGGCTACGACCATTAACATTTCATCTACGCCAACTACCACGACGTTCCCTAATAGTCGCACTACTGCTGCCACGACGACGGCTACCACTACTACTACTACTATTACTACTACTACTACTACTACTACTACTAC